GTTTCATCCAGTTTCTTATTATCACACCAACAATTGACCCCTTCTCACCTAGCTGCTTGCCAATCATCTTGTGGCTCATTCCAGTCTTGGGCAGGTATACAATTTTGAATTCTTTCATCTTGCCCATTATGGAGAGATTAGATTCTGATTCATTGAATGATTCTGTAAACTAGTATCTTTCATACAGGTAATGAGTACTTGATTAGGAGTAATAATTGAGTAATAGGACTAGTCTATATGCCTCCTGGTCACATAACCAGTCGGTGGGGCCTGAATCATTGATGGTTGGTAGGAGGTGAAATATTTATTTTTTCAATGAATTATTTGAATATTTTGAATATTATAATTATTTTCTAGCATTGCTTGACAATGGAATGAAACTCTGGAATTTTAAGTTTAATTTTTAGAATGAAATTTACAATTTTAGTTTCAGTTTTGAAACAGAAATTTGTTTAAAAAAGAAAATAATTAATATATATATATATATATATATATATATATATATATATATGCATGATAAATGTATGAGACCATTTGGAAAACTTATTTTCACATGTTTCATCTATCACTGTCATGAGAAAAAATGATTTTATTTCAACTAAATCTACATTAGTGAAATGCTGATGTTTTATCCATGTTCATACATGTGAAAATAATTTTTCCAAACTGTCTTATATATTTAGTATTCCATTGCATTCAACACCATCACTTGATAAGACACCAGAAGTGTTGAAACAAAATGGCTATTTTTGTAGTGATTTTATAACATATTTATATTATGATTTTCAAATAAATAATTATATTTGCTCTACTCTGTATTGAGCACTCTTTTAAGAATAGTATTTTTTGGTTATTGGAAATTATTCCATATACACCAATCTAATACTTGGATATCTAATATATATATATATATATATATATATATATATATATATATATATATATACACACCACACAGTATCTGAAGATTGAGCTGTGCATGAAACTCCAAACCCAAGTCGTGCTATCAGTGAGGGGTAATATATATATATATATATATATATATATATATATATAGTGTAACCTGGATATAAGAGATTTGTCGGGACCGGAGAAGTCTCTTATATCCGGGTTTCTCTTATATCCGGGTTTGGTCTATTTTATATACATTAAAACAGGCTCTAATTTGGGACCAGAGAAAATCTCTCTTATATCCGGGTTTCTCTTATATCCGGGTCTCTTATATCCAGGTTACACTGTACGTTCTTTTTATAGATACAGTGTAACCTGGATATAAGAGAGTTGTCGGGACCGGAGAAAAAGTCTCTTATATCCGGGTTTCTCTTATATCCGGGTTTGGTCTATTTTATATACATTAACACAGGCTCTAATTTGGGACCAGAGAAAATCTCTCTTATATCCGGGTTTCTCTTATATCCAGGTCACACTGTATATATGTGAGATTAAGCTTTTCATTTAATATTCATTGTGTTCGAACATTTGTTTTCTTTTCTGGACAGTTTCTACACACTCTGTGTCCAGAAAAGAAAACACTTGTTCAGACAACAAAAGTTAAATAAAAAGCTTAGTCACAGTACCTTTTCTGTCATCTTTAATGAAATATGTATAAATGAAGGATTACTGCCTAAATACAATATATATATATATATATATATATATATATATATATATATATATATATATATATATGTAGTTGTTCGCATCCAAGCATCAGCATCATCTTTCTCTCTCCTTATTCCCTTTTTCCCCTCTGGAGAGATTGCTGTGAAAGCCCAACCTACTCCTGAAAAGCCATGACCAGTAATCAGAGAAGAATGTGGGTGGTGGACGTGGCTGGCCAACACGTTACAGATCCTTGTTGACAATTGAACTTCAATGTTTCGGTTCACCTCTCGGATGGTCTGACACCAGGAAGGCCAATTTGCAGCAGTCTCAGGGTTGATGTTGACCTGTGTCAGGGATGTTTTCAGCTGATCCTTGAAGTGTCATTTTTGCCATCTGCATAACCTCTTGCCACTGGTGAATATAACAAACATATATATATATATATATATATATATATATATAATGCTTAGAAATTGAAAAAGCACATATGCTCAATGCCAAAAGACAAAGGTCACATATATAAATTAATAATAGCATCATTTATTCTTCTACATATCACACCATGACTAACATTCATGCACTAAACAATTTTCAGATGAAATATATATATATATATATATATATATATATATATATATGTATGTATGTATGTATGTATAAAAAGAAAATAAGTATTGTTTTGTATCCTCATTAATGATTGGTCATGCAGAATTTCTAACAAGCATATATGTGTACAGAAGAGTGTGCTGCGAGTAGAATTATAAATTTAGAGGTGCAGCTGTTGTCATCCGCTTTATCAATTAGGAACATCCTCTGTCTACAGACAATGGTTGCATTACTTCAAAATGTCCAATAGTGCAAATGATGTGGTCAGCAAATTGCATCAAATCTGTCTACTTGGCAACAAATTTGCCAGTCACTCATTTCATAAATCTGCAATCATTCACACTTCAAGCAACAAGCACTGCACTAATGGCAAGCACAAGTAGTTTCCTGATAAATGCTATATATATATATATATATATATATATATATATATATGACCGAGTGTGTGTTAGCAGGTTCATTATGTCTTATTTTATTGTGCAAGTTATTGTTTCTATGACAAAATATATATGAAGCATCCAATGTTGGTAAACTTTTCAATATATCTTCTTTTCTCAAGTGTCCCTTTATGACTTGGGCAATCATGGCTCTTCACATCTTCCTATCCTTTATAGCTCTAAACAATATTTATTTTTTACTATCACCCCCCCCCCCACATCCTGCTTTCCTCTGTTCCTCTTGCCTTCAATATTTTGCAATCATCAAACTCTCCAGGCCTTCTTTTCTCATTATGTTCTAGAAATTTCAGCTAGCTCTTTCTGATTTTATGCTTGATGATTGTTCTTTTCATTTCCTATTTGCTCATCTGCTCCATTTACTGTTTTCTCAGCATCCTTCTGTAGAACCAGTTTTCTTGTGTCTCAAATCTTCTCTTCATTCATGAGGAAAATGACCAGCATTCCCTACTGTCTTGGCTGCTTCAAGATTAAGTGTTTCTCATGAGAATATTTTATAGTAAATGAAATAATGGTAGTGAAAAGGGTACATGCACAAAATAACAGACCAATTGATTTGTAATGCAAGATAACATTTATTGAACAAAATGAACAATAGAAGAGTTTAAAAAAAGAGTTTCTTTTCCAAGAACTGCATACACAACAAAATGTTCATGGATATATTTAAGTGGGATTTACTGTCTTGGGGAGTTTGAGGGTGAAGTATTCATAGCTCTTTTAGCTTCAGCATGAAAAGTTCATGTCACATAATACAAAAGAGGAAAAAAGAGAGAGTTACTTTAAGGGTTCACATGTTTTTATATCCCAGAGCTTCTGCTGATACAAGGTTTATTAAGGGCTGCTACTGCTACTATATTTAAGGGCTGCTACTGATGCTTTGTTTATGCACTACACCATATAGGAAGATTGATATTGCATAGCATTTCTTTCTCTTTTCTTCGTTTCGAATGAAATTCTCTAGCTTCTAAATACTTTTTTTTATTTTTTAGAAGGCATCTTTTGCTATTAAAATGAAACTTCAGATTTTGGTAATGATGTTCGTCTGCATATTTCTGAGTGTGCTTGTCTAGTAGAATGGTTAGCTAATCTCTACATCATCCTTTTTCAGGGTTAGGGTTGAAAATTCATAAACTTAAGGAATCAGTGCATATGCTAGGCCACAAAAATCTCCTGAGCCGACCAAGCATAGAAATGAATACAATATGGGAACCAGTAATAAGGAGTGCCAGAGAAAAGTGATAATAACAACAAAAAATTACAATATGAGCTCTGCTAAAAAAATATGTAATGATAACAGCAAAATTTGCAATATGAGTACTGATAAAAAATGGTTGTGAAAACATTAGATTTATACCCAGAAATTCATAGACAGATGTCCTCAAGGACACATGGTGCAGTGGATAAAGGCGTTAGATCAAAGAGTGTGAGTTCAATACCTGGTTAAGACAGTGGAGAACTTTCAAAAGGAAATTAACAGGAGAAAACTAATAACTGACATCCATTAAACATGGCACGTGGAACTAGAACAGTCTGCCCCAGTGAACGAAATAAAGGGTCCAGTTCAACATTCCAACCACTTAAAGAAGGCCAGAGAGTACAAAGGCTGAAATGTTGTAATAAATGTGGCAACAAAGATGAGGACAATAGTCTGAATAATGTAAATAATACCTCATCTTAGAAATATATATATATATATATATATATATATATGTGTGTGTGTGTGTGTGTGTGCATATATATATATATATATATATAAATATAAAAGTGCACATTGGAGGCAACCAGAAACAAAGCGTTTCTAAAGAGTTAATGGATTTTATTTTTTAATCTGACATATCTTTATGACTTTTCTTACTTTAAACATTATTTTTAATGGACACCTGTATTTGATTTGATGCTCCATTTATATTAAATGGCTTATTGTGAAGTTCAGAACACCTTGGATTAAACAGCAGTTTCTCCTGCAATATGTACTGGAAGGTGTATTTTCTTTAATACATTTTCTCAAATGTTTAGGACAGTTGACAAAATAAAATACTGTTTAAAATAAACAGAACTTCTACTCAAATATGGGTATCCACTAAAAATAAGGTTTAAAGTAATAAAAACATATATTTAGAAGAAGTTTTATTAAATTTAGTCAACACCGCTTTTTTCTTGTATTTAACCACTCTTAAATATTGAGGTTAAAATTGTGAATATTCAGTATGAAATTCATGTTTCTGTTCAATTTTTCATGTGTTTCCAAATACCTCAGTCAGAAATAAAATATTGCCAACCGACACAAAATGTCTGTTGTTTTTAATAATAATAGCCTTGACAGACATTAACTGCCTAAATACACAGAATAGATAGATAGATAGATAGATAGATAGATAGATAGATACCAATATATGAAAAAATTCTTTTGTGTAGGATTTTGTACTGAAAGGAATTTTTTCAGATTTCTTGAAAGAAAAGATATTAAAAATGTTGAAGATCAGGCTGTGGCTCTAGATATCACAAAGGCATTCAGCCAGGTTTGGCATGCTGGCTTTCAACACAATCTCAAAGGATATAGTATCTTAGGATAAAGATTTGGCTTAATCCAATCACTCGTAACAATTTGTATAATGAAGGTCATTTTGAAGGGACATGCCTCCAGACCCATGCTGTTTCTAATCTTCATTAAAGATCTCCTTGATGTTATCAGCTACCAACTATGTATTTATGCAGATGACACAAACATTTACTCCTGTATTAATATCAAATCTGACAGAGCTGACAAAGTAAACCTGGCAACTGTTCTTGAAAAGGACCACCAATCAATGGTTAACTGGGACAAGAAATGGCTTGTAAATTATAAGGCTTCAAAAACAAAACTGCTTTCATTTAATCACCACAAATAACTTTTTCTGCCTGCTAACCTCCAGAAGAGTAACACTCTATGCCTTTACATGAAATGGAATGACTGTATTGAATCAATTGCTAAGAAAAGTTCTTTCACTGTGTCATGCCAGAAAATTTTTCATGTCAGAATTTATCTTGCATATTTATAAATCTACCATTCGCCTATCCATTGAATACTTTTGCCATATATGATCTAGTGCCGCTGCTGTATATCTCGAGATTCTTGACAAAATTCAAAGAAGGGTTTATAATATAACTGACCAAGCATATGGATTTCAGTCACTTTCTCACTGACATGATGTGGCTTCCCTCTGTCTTTTCTACAAATATTTTCATGACAACTGCTCTGATGAGCTTGTTTTCCCTGGTACCCCAACTAATGGTGCTACTAGATTGGTAACTAGTTTATACCACCTTACTCTTAAACTAACTAGATGCAACTGCCACTTCTATAACTGTTTCTTTTCTTGTACTTCTCACATGTGGAACTCCCTACCAATTTCTTGCTTCCCTGATAACTACAATCTTCAGAATTTTAAATTGCCATCTTTTGTCTTCTTGATCTCTGTTCCTTCTTTGTATTGTCCTCAATTATCACCAGTAATGTTTTCTCTTTTTTTTTCTCTCTCAGTCACACTCTGCTGTGTCCTAGGGACATTATCATCTTACTTGAGTTGAAACAATTAACAAAAAAAACAAAAAAAACTAAGGAGGTTTTCCATGTGTGTGTGTGTGTGTGTGTGTGTGTGTAAGCCTTGCCCTGAAAAATATTGACTCATGACTATATCTAAAAATCCATTACTCTGCAAGTAATTATTTCCTAGAAAATAACATTCTGCTTTTAATGCTCTCATTCTTCCTCTATGTGCCATATCCCTTCAGGACATTGGCAATGATGGCAATCCACAATTTTCCGTCTTTTGTAGCTCTTAGTAAATTTTGTCCTTTTGTTATCTCTCCTAAACCTTGTTCCAAAATCCATTTACTCAAGCTCACTAAGTAGTTTATGCATTATTTTCCTCTATCCCTCTTGCCTTTACTCTATCCTGTGAGTATCAAATTTTCCAAGACTCCTTTCCTCATTATGTGCCCTAGAAATTTCAACTGCTTCTTCCTGATGTTAAGTATAAATTTCCTTTTTGTTTCCATTTACTCTTAAATGTTGCTGGCATGTTTGGTCTATGTCATTCTCAGCATCCTTTTGTAGAATCACATTTTGCTTCTTAAGGCTTATACTGATCAATAATTTGCTGTATTAAACCAATGAATTCAAATTGAATGTCTGAAATATTAGAGTTGATGTCTGTAAAAAACACATTAATCATTTCTGTATGATGATAGTAGTTTAATATAAGTATCTAATTGTATCAAATATGTAATTTATTTTCATGTATGTATAATGTCAGTTTGTCTCCTATTCATTTATGCTTGAGAATAAAGCTGCTGTAAGCTCAGATGTTATGTGGGTGGTGTGATGGATAATGGCTAAGAATTGGCAACTGCTATTGGTTAATTAGTATGTCTTGTATCAGTAAATGATTATCTCCAAAGGGTTCTTACAGCCTAAAGGTAATTTTTGGCATTAAATAACCTGCAAGAGGTTGACAAGCTGTAAAAAAACAAACTCGTCAAATCAACTAATTCAGTTATAGCCTTGTATAACATTAATAAACTTTGCTCATAATTTTCAAGAATTGCTGAATAATTTTGGTTTTTGTTTGTTTTGTTTGTTTAATGGCATATCAACACCTTATGGGTCATTTAATGCCAAAATTTATTTTTCTTGGGAGCATTAGTAATTTATTTTACAAAAATGTACTGCTGGTATTTTTTTTTCAAAAAATGTATTGCTAGCACTTTTTCTTTTACAAAAATGTATTGCTGATACTATTTTTTTAAATGTATTGTTAGTAATATTTTTTTTTATAATGAAAATGTATCACTGGTAATATTTTTTTATTTTTTTTTACAAAAATTTATTGCTGCTAATATTTTTTTTATGAAAATGTATTACTGGTAATTTTTTTATTATGAAAATGTATGGCTGGTACCTTCAATATAAAAATGTATTTCTACACTTTCAGTGTCTTTTGACCCCAGTTTGGGAATTAACTATTTGCCCATTGGTAGGACCCGAGCAGGTGCTACCACCCTAGGTCAGGGTGGACGTGGGAACCACAGCAATTAAGAGTTGGTACCACGCTCCTCAAAATCTTCCAATCAGATGCTTTGCTGCCATATGTAGTTTATCGTCAAATCCAGGATGAAATAATTTTGGTATTTCCAAAGCAATACTCAGCTTTCAGAGAGTTATTGTTTTTTAAAAAAAAAAACTGATCAGCAATTGAAACAAGATGAGATAGATATTTTATCGATTTAAAATATACTTTGAGTATTTTCTAAATATTTAATTTAATGTGTAATGAATTAAATGTTTAATTTAATACTTAATGAATATGTTATAGTCCCAAATAATTTAGTCATTCAGATTTTGTAAAGTTTGAAAATTTATACTGCAGTTTGCATGCGTTGTATTTCTGCTCAACTGAACTGTCTTAAGCTTGTCTCACTTGAGTAGAAAGACCAAGTGAAAAATTGTTTTAAATTTCCTATGGCTGCTGACAAATCTTCATGGCAGGAAGCCAGTGAGATTTATGGCTGTTCATATGCATACTGTCTGTGTGTAACCAGAATGGCAACTTGATGGCTTTGTGAACGCTTGGCTGCCTGTGGTCACCATGGCTGTGTGAACATGCGGGGACAACACTCTTTGTCATCACTGACAAGAAAAGTTCAGCAGAGTTTGAGGAAAATGGATCTGTTCATAGTAGATTTAACATATAAGTAAGATGAAAATATTTGTCCATGTAGATAAATACCATGGATCAATGGTTGCAAGAAGTTCAAAGATGAAGCTTCGGCATTGTTCCACATTGAATTTAGAATAGTATCTTCATCTTTGTTGTTTTTATTACATTTCAGTCAATATGTTCTTCAGCCACTCCCAGGTGTGTGTTGCATCCAATCAGGGCCAGTGCATACTACCCATGAATACTCCGATCAATTGGGAGACCCTTATCTTATTAACATTTACTTTTTTCTACCTACATTTATTAACATTACAAATAAAACTAAGCACAACTGACTTGGTTTTCTTTTTTCATCCAAATTCATGAATTTGTTTTGCTAATACTAAGTCTCAAAAAAAAAAAACACTGTATAAAATTCATCATTTTTTTATCCATAATGTTGAATGTGTTAGAATTATTCAACTTTTTAACATGACAAATCTCAAATTCACTATTTACATTATTCAGACTATTGTCCTCATCTTTGTCACCATGTTTATCACAACACCTTTATCCACTGTCCTTAAGGACATATGGCACAGTGGATAAAGGTGTTAGTTAGATTCAGTGACAGGACCCAAAGAGTGTGAGTTCAATACCCGGTTAAGGTGGTGGAGAACTTTGAGAGGGGAATTAATAGAAGATAACTGACAGCCATTAAACATGGCACGTGGAACTAGAACAGTCTACCCCAGTGAGTGAAATAAAAGGTTCAGTTTGACATTCCAACCACCTGAAGAAGGCTGGAGTGTACAATGGCTGAAACGTTGTGATAAACATGGTGATAAAGATGAGGACAATAGTCCAAATAATGTAAGTATTGTACATAATACCTCATCTCAAAAATATAGACAAAAATCTCAAGTTGATGTTAAAAATTGCTGAAAACATTTTTGATTTATTTAAGATGGAATTATCTATAATGACATGTCTCTAATTTATATTTAGGAACATTGTATTTAAATTTTGTCTGAATTTCTGTGATGATTTACATTCACAATGTTTTTACCATTGTGCCGTCTTCACGTGTATATCGATCTTGGTAACCTAATCTTGGGAATTCTGAACTGAACACTTTATTTAATCTATGGAGGTAGACTGTTCTCATTCCACTGTTCATGTCTAAGGATTTTTTTTTATTTAGCACTGTTCATTTTTTCCTCACCCATTTCCACTCAGTGCAAGTATACACTGATCAACCCAATGAACTCACAACCACTATGTCAACAAATTCACAAACCGGCACATTTACCTATTAGTCCATTGTCCCATAGAGACTTGCTGAAGTAAATTTAGGATTTTAAACTTTCACTTCTGATTAAGTTGCAACTGTTAGTGCTGCCCATGTTTTTGCTATTGAAGACTTTCTGTCATTTGTCTTTCTTTCTTTATTATTGGCTCCCATATTGTATTTATTTCTACACTAGGCCTACTAAGGAGATTCTCATAGCCTAGCATATGCACTGATTCTTTCAGACGTCTAATATTTTCACTTCATTCACAGGCGCTGATGACCACTTATTTCTCGCTATACTTGATCAGCGATGCCTGATTTCATTGTTTCTCTTCTCACTATTTTTTTATGTTCCTCCAACCTGACTTTTATATCCTCTGCCACAATTGCAATGAAATGAGTACATAAAATTCTTGGTCATATTCTCCTCTGTGTTAGCCTTTACTCAGCAG